GAAATTAAATATATAACAAATTTTAACTTATTTTATTTCAGCTAGTTGCCAAGGCAACACTTCTCACTTTCTCATTTGTAAACAACAATAACAAAATAACAAAAACTTTAACTAAAATGAAAAAGAAAACAGAAAATATAAATATTAATAAATACAAATAAAATAACAGGCCTGTTGTCAAGGTGACAAGACTGTGAGTGTGTGTCAGTGTTATTATAGTTAACACTGAAAGCATAAAAACTTCTGTTATTTGATATTAAATAAACTTTAACAGAAATTAAATATATAACAAATTTTAACTTATTTTATTTCAGCTAGTTGCCAAGGCAACACTTCTCACTTTCTCATTTGTAAACAACAACAACAAAATAACAAAAACTTTAACTAAAATGAAAAAGAAAACAGAAAATATCAATATTAATAAATACAAATAAAATCTATAATAGCACCTCAATGATACTAAAATCACATTGTGTGCGTCTGTCCCTACTCTTTATGTCCCTACACTATGTGTGTATAAAAAGCCATGATGTGTTTTTGTGTGTGTGAATGTAGTGATAATCTCATCCAATGAGATTACAGCATCACTCTTATTTTTCTCGAAGATAAATCTAAGATAAGCCTGTACGGCATTGCTCATCCAGGGAACTCAGATGCTTTGCCGTAAACCTCTCTAAATGTGCAAAGTTAACTAGGCTTTCAGGTTATTTTTACATGCAAATCACACGGAATATATTCAGACAAAAACTAACATAAAAATAAATCAGAACTGTTGTGTGCACAATTTACATTTCAAAAAGGATCAAAATAAAAAAGAGGCACTAAGAGGTTGTCAATTACTCTGTGCATCTTATATAGGCTTTTATAAATGCATTAAGCAGGAAAAGAACCATGTGGAAACCTGTCAAAAGGTTTAGAGAATTTTTCCCCTTTTGTTTTGTTTCTCAAGACTCTTTTCACTTTAATCTAATGTGATTCTTTAAACTGTAAAGCACATGTTCAGATACACAGCATGAGGTTGATAACACACTGCTGCTCATCCTTGTCCAAAATCTATTTTGCTAAATTGAGCGGCTCTTCACAGGAAGATAATCTGAATGCAATCAAATATTGGTTGCACATGTAGGCTAAATGATTATTCACTGGGCCATGACGATAATCCAGGAAAGATGTAGGCCTAATTGTAATGAATGAAGTCAATACAATACTGTATTGAATACTGTATTGTTGCTGAGCCAATGCAAGTTCTTACCTTTGCACTGGTAGGGCAATAGGGTGATCTGCTTCCTCTCTCTAGTAATCCGCAGCCTGTCTGGTGAAGTCAGAGAGTGCAGATGACAGTCAGAGGAGCAGGGTTTTATACTCGGACCTTTGCTCTTCTGGCTTGGGCTGCTCTGTTGTAGAAGCTGCTGTCTTTCTGTCAATCCAATTAAACACTTAACCTGCTATATGGGGCTACAACATGTTTATAAATAAAAATTGGGAATTAAACCAAAGATCTACAGGGAAATTCCAATGGTTTAGTGTAAAATGTATGACGTTTCTATCCCTGGAAAATGAACATGTTATAATGACAGAGTAATGTCTTGGAACAAGATTATGTATCTCAATGTAGTCCAGTTTAGAATTGAATTGACTTGAATTGAACCAATATGTTCTGTTTTTTTTTTTTACTTGACACAAATGTATTTTAGGTTCTAAATCAAAATTATTTGTCATACCGCTTGTTACAACAAACGATAAGCTCATTCCATATTTTAAAGAAGGTACAGTGTGATACATTGAAGTGTTGAACAATTTAACAGAAGTGCATGACGCATATAAATACATTTTGGTAAAATGCATATATATTTTTAATATAACATAACAATAAAAATCTAATTAATTAATTAAATTTTTATATTTAATATACTGCAATTAGTCTTTATAGTCTAAAGACGTGGTATTTTGTGTGGAATAAAAAATCAGAATAATAAATGTCAGCAGAATAATTATGTCAGCAAACTGTTAAATTCATGTGTCTGTGTTAATCAGTTAAATAAATAAAAAACTGTAGTAAATGAGGTGAGAACCTCAAATTTGATCCTTTTGATCTTGCATTCCATCATTACCTAACCGAGCCACTTAAAATGCAAATCGTTTTCTTTAACATGCCCTCAGAAAATGTAAATAAATATTAATCAAATATCCCAACACAAAGTGAAATGGCTGGTCTGCAGTTGGAACGTGAGCAGGACACTTCAACTTCAAAACAACCGTGAGTGATGTCATGGCTAAACATAGACCATTCACCCTGTACAGCACCTTAATATAGCACTGTACATGTTGTTTGTACACAACTGTAGTTATAAAACAGTGTGTATATATTGTAGGATTTCCATTATTAATCATTTATTTGTTCTTTTTCTCACAAACAAGATTGTACCTTAATGTAAGGAAACCCAAAAAGAAAGATAACGCAGGGATAAAGTGGGAGTCTCGCTGCACCAGATGGCCAACAGGTTTGGAAACCCAGTGACCCCTGAGCACTTTTCTCAAGACTTTGACTTATATGAAAGGTTTTTGTGTTGAGTGTTGGTCATTAAATTGTTTTATTTATTGTTTTAATTATAAAAACACTTGCTTTTAATTATACACTTATAGTTTTTATTTTTAATTATAGTTATTTTCTTATTATTTAACATATACCCCTAAAGACAAATATGTAACAAAAAGATACAAAAACGTTTACAATTATTGACAGTTAAATACTGAAAATTGATTGTTGTTTAATCAAATTGAGTTGTTAATTTCTAAAGTTTATTCATATGCCAATTATTTATTTATTAATGTATTTTTTAACATACCTGTGGCAAAATGAGTAGCGAATAGTTAATGGCAAATGTAATTACATCCCCACATATTAAAGGTGCTTCCTTGCACAAAAGGTGTATGTGAGCATGTTATGAAATCCCCTTTTGCCCAGCACAGGTAAATCTCTTAGCGTCAGTCAGTGTTCACTGAGATGGCCTTTACTTCCATCTGTTCCCTCCTATCAGGAACTGGCAGTCCAATGACATCATGTTTTTCTAAAGGCTCTCCACCAATCCCAGGAGATCAAGCACTCAGTGTGTCTCACTGGTGCAAGAATTGGCACCCTAAGGATATTTCTTGAGAGTAATCCACTTATTGCTAAGAATTCACTTTAATAGCTACAGTCGAGTCAAAACATTACATTAAGAACATATGTCTTTATTTTTAGGACATAATAAATGCAGAACGAATGATCAAAGCATTCTCTAAAAAGCGTGAGACATTAATTGATTTAATTAAAGTGAGTTAAAGCTGTTACACAAACCTTTCTGTAATTATTGATGTAACTGAAGAAAAAAATCAACACAAAATTACACATTTAAGATAATTAATTACATAAGATACGTTGTGGAGGTTGATAATAACAAGTAATTTGGAAAATAGTAAAAAATAAAATAAAATAAGTCAGTCTCTAAAATAAGTCTTTCACTTCTAATATCTAAAGTCCATTTTTAGTTCAAAGTGTGAAGATTTAGGATTTAATCCAAAGGTAATTACAGAAGAGCTCATGTGCGTCTGTAATTACACTTTAGGGAGGGAGTGGGCGGGCTTGTTGAGAAAGAGGTAAAGCCCAGGTAACAAAGAGTCAAAGACTGTAGTGCACATATAAACACAGAATTACTTATTTCTAAACAACCCCTAAATGAATAATCCCCTAAAATATTTTAGAATTATTCAGAAAAAGAAGTGAAGTCATATTTCACTTCTTGTATCCATCATATACAGGACTGTTGAATATTTTTAAACTAAAATTTTCTGACTCAACCAGCAACAGACAATTATAATGTAGCAAGAATTATGTAGCAGATTTGTTTTTGAAACATTTTTGAACTTTGAGTAATTTATGATCCAAAACTATGTTAATGAATGACTTGGTTAAAATAAGTCTACCTCACATCTCCTAAATATATGCAAAGTTAGACATCCTCCCTAGATGGCATCTGAATCATCAGCATTCACATTAGCCCAACTTCCATATAAAAGTAATTTTTGTCTGGTTTGACTGGACTGATTGACTTCCAGTTTGGTTCTGGTGCTGTGGACCCATAGCTGGCACAGATTGCTTCAGAGTTTAATCTCTCTTAATCTGTCTACACTCCAACTTGGTCCGTAATGAGATTGTGTCTACTGAGTGCACAGGATGGATTCCCTCTTTATTAGAATGTGCTTGCAGTCCTCTGTGACAAAACCAATGTCACTCAAATGAAGTAAAGACCTATGAACTCTGGCCTGACCATTTGTAAATGCTGTGACACACAGCAGCCACAACAACACTTATCTTTTAATTTTTCCCTTTTTATTCAAAACATTCCCAAACGCATTCACTTAATTATCATGAAATATCTTGATTCTCACCTTTATAGATTATGTTGATCTATATTGGGCGATGGTCAAAGTAACCTAATAGTGTAATATATTAACAATGCTTTGCATAAAAACCTGTCTGTTTACTAACAGATATGGGTGTCAAGCCATAACATATTTTTAATATGCCTGAGTTTATATTTAATGTGAATTTAACATCGAAAGTTAATGTGAATAAAAACATTGCAAGTTAGGCTACTAATTATAGCACTTTCATTGTACAGAAAGAGAGCAAAGAACATTTACATTATTAAAGAACATTTTCACTAACAGTCTAGTTCAAGATTAAATTAGATTTTAGTAAAATAATATAAAGCCAGCTAATTTACAAATTATATTAAACATTACTCACTTATTCAATTTTTTATTATTATACATTTATGTAAATATGTATTCTATATTTGTATGTAATAAATAAATATTATTATATAATATTACACACATATATAACTAGATATATAACCATACACACACATAAACACTGTATTCATAATTTATCACTTTATATCACATTTCAGGTATATTTTTTGTATAGCCTACATTTTATTTTATTTTATATATGATGTGAGTGAGGTGATGTAGTGCGAGGTGGGAAATAGGTATATGGCCGTTTACTGCCCGAGTGTGTATCGACCTCTGTCCATGGTGCTGGATTTTATAATTCGTGTCCTCCCTACAATGTAATGCTTGCAGTTTAATCCAATCAGGTCTGATTCGAGCAAATTACACAAAACTGTGGTTTCGTACATACATTTTGTTCTGCGTTAGAGTACCATGTAATTATAGGTGTGACAGTAATGAGCAGATAAGTGCGGCCAAGGTGTCGTCGGGACTCGGCACTGCAGCATCCGCTCTGCGGCTGCTCGCTGCTGCTGCTCACAGTCCCGCGGACAAAGTCATGGAGGGAGGGAAGTTGTGAGGCTAAGAAGTGGGTCTACATCCCCACGAAAAGGGCAAATTAGAAACGATGGCGGAGGCTAATCCACTCAGGGGACTGCCCCGGATCCAGAGGGCTGCGGTAAAATGGATTCTTCTCTGTTTTGGACCGGGTTTATGCTGCAGAACTGACAAATGCTACTGCGGACGCTGGGCGGGAGTCTAGTTTGCTTTTGATTAATGAGAAACTATAAACAAGACTATAAACGCACGCGTTTGTAATAATAACTATTAGTTAGGACAGGGATAATTATTGCAGTCAGCAGTGTTGCATTTTACATTTGATTACAGGCATGTGCAATGATCGGTTTTTGAAACACCCGACCACTTCGTTTGTAACTCCGTGTATGGATTATGACTAACGCAATAATAATAGACTTTATACTTCTTTTGGCTGTGCATCTGTGTTTTATTGCTAGTCATTACACATATGCACCTTAAGGGTGTATTTTAACCCCTGATGATGAAGTAAACTGCAGGATTACTGATTATGGCAGCAAAAGTGAGTGTCTCTGATGAGGTTTACTGATCATAAGTCAATCAAAAAGGGAGAAGACAGACAGCTTACACTGACTTGTCAGCATTAGCAGTTAGAGTCAGCCTTGGATTTCCATGGACAATGATTGTCTTTAAGGGTCTGAGAAAGTGCATAGTAGTTGCTAGTTAGATTGAATTTCCTGCTTGAATCAGCAGGAAAGGTGTTACAAGAGGTGTTAGCTTCACATTTTAGTATTTTAAAGGCTAAAAACACATTTTAAATATAATTTGAGTTCTGCCCTTGTCTTTTAATCTGTTAGCTTAATTATAATTTAAATATGCGCATTTATGGAAATAGGTGGGTGTCTGACCTAGATTTCTACATCTGTGAACACATTAGAAGTGGGAGGGTGATAAACAAGCAGCCACCCACAGTTTATGATTAAATTGTTATTATATTATTACTCTTTAAATCATCCTGAATTATGTGACTGGATATGAGTTGAATGTGTCCATGTACTGAAATATCATATCTCATCTTCAGATGTCATTCCCTGGACATTTGCACTTAGTTCTAGTGCTGAGACCCAAAACCCACCTGCAGACCACTGGAACAGACCTCGGTTTCCGCTTCAGTCAGGACGACTTTGTGCTCAAGATGCCGGTAAGAGCTGATGAGATTCCTCTGTGGTACAAAAACAATAAATTCTTTATGATATAGTCATTAGATGCATATACGTGAACAAACATAAAATTGTATAATATTGAGTCATTTCTTTTAATACCCACTGATTATGTGAGGCAAAATGTGATATTTTATATCTATTTCTTTCAATATTTATTTATCGATAACAAGGAATTCATTAAAGGAATAGTTCACCCAAAAATGAAACTTTGCTGACAATTTACTCGCCTTCAGGCCATCCAAGATGGAAATGAGTTTGATTCTTAATTGGAAGAGATTTGAAGGATTTTATAATTTTCATCACTTGCTCATCATTGGATCCTCTGCAGTAAGTGGGTGCTGTCAGAATGAGAGTCCAAACAGCTGATAAAAAAAAATGGATGGAACAATGGATTTTGGCCAGAAGCGACAGTTTAAGGTTAAACGCCTTGGTGAATTTATTTCTTGCAAACATGCAGTTTTTCACTTCACAAGACATTAATTGATGGACTGGTCTGTATGGTCTGAGTGTGAGTAAATTTTCAGCAAATTACATTTTTTTCGTACACTATTCCTTTAAAAGGACATTTCACATTTACAAAGTTAGTCTGCTAAACGAATGAGCTCTTAATCTTATTGAACTTAATTTTATTAAATAGACTGTGCTTAATTAATTCCCTGCTTCTTTTCGCCTTATTCAGATGGTAATGCTGAGCTCCCTGACAGACCTGCTTCGCAGGAAAGGTGTTACAAGAGGTGTTAGCTTCACATTTTAGTATTTTAAAGGCTAAAAACACATTTTAAATATAATTTGAGTTCTGCCCTTGTCTTTTAATCTGTTAGCTTAATTATAATTTAAATATGCGCATTTATGGAAATAGGTGGGTGTCTGACCTAGATTTCTACATCTGTGAACACATTAGAAGTGGGAGGGTGATAAACAAGCAGCCACCCACAGTTTATGATTAAATTGTTATTATATTATTACTCTTTAAATCATCCTGAATTATGTGACTGGATATGAGTTGAATGTGTCCATGTACTGAAATATCATATCTCATCTTCAGATGTCATTCCCTGGACATTTGCACTTAGTTCTAGTGCTGAGACCCAAAACCCACCTGCAGACCACTGGAACAGACCTCGGTTTCCGCTTCAGTCAGGACGACTTTGTGCTCAAGATGCCGGTAAGAGCTGATGAGATTCCTCTGTGGTACAAAAACAATAAATTCTTTATGATATAGTCATTAGATGCATATACGTGAACAAACATAAAATTGTATAATATTGAGTCATTTCTTTTAATACCCACTGATTATGTGAGGCAAAATGTGATATTTTATATCTATTTCTTTCAATATTTATTTATCGATAACAAGGAATTCATTAAAGGAATAGTTCACCCAAAAATGAAACTTTGCTGACAATTTACTCGCCTTCAGGCCATCCAAGATGGAAATGAGTTTGATTCTTAATTGGAAGAGATTTGAAGGATTTTATAATTTTCATCACTTGCTCATCATTGGATCCTCTGCAGTAAGTGGGTGCTGTCAGAATGAGAGTCCAAACAGCTGATAAAAAAAAATGGATGGAACAATGGATTTTGGCCAGAAGCGACAGTTTAAGGTTAAACGCCTTGGTGAATTTATTTCTTGCAAACATGCAGTTTTTCACTTCACAAGACATTAATTGATGGACTGGTCTGTATGGTCTGAGTGTGAGTAAATTTTCAGCAAATTACATTTTTTTCGTACACTATTCCTTTAAAAGGACATTTCACATTTACAAAGTTAGTCTGCTAAACGAATGAGCTCTTAATCTTATTGAACTTAATTTTATTAAATAGACTGTGCTTAATTAATTCCCTGCTTCTTTTCGCCTTATTCAGATGGTAATGCTGAGCTCCCTGACAGACCTGCTTCGCTTCATCGATGAAAATCAACTGAGCACTGAGTTTGGTGGTACGCTGGAGGAATGCCATAGTGACTGGATAGTTCTGCAAACGGTAAGCATTCTCTTGCACACTGTAGTGGCACATTGATTTCATTCAGGGAAACAACAAGACATTTATACTGTAACAAAACAGGCATTATATGCTTCACAAAATGAAATTAAATCACAAAATCACATTGTATGCTTCACTATTTAATAAGAGAAACAAATCAGTTACTGAATTATATCTGTTTACTTCGTATTCATTATTTGTGATATGCAAATCTAATTTCATACAAATCTGATTTTAGATAAGCATGCTTTGACCTACAATTGCAGTAAATGCTGAGTAATGCATATTTTTGTCTGTGCTGCCCCCTCCAGGCCATAGAGAGTTTTGCAGTGACTGTGAAGGAGATTGCCCAGTTACTGCAGACATTCGGCACAGAGCTGTCTGAGATGGAGCTACCTGATGAAGCCAGTGGCATTGAGTACCTACTCAGATCACACACTGAGAAATACAGGCAGATGAAGGTGTGGTGATGATTCTGTAGTTGTGTATGTATTATGCACATAAACAGTGGGGGCTGACATTTTTTCTAATTTAATATAATTTGTTCTAATGCATTACATTATCAGCATAGCTTTTTTAATAGAAAAAACAATATCCAATTTTATGGCATAATGTTGTCATAATTTATATGGCATAATGCATTTTTTAATCTTAAAATTTATTCCCAGGTTTAAATTAGATTTTGAATCCCATACTTTCATTGTGGTCTCAGAATTTTGGGAAATCTATTAAATATAAAACACAATGACTGGTAGGATGATTTTCACAACAAATTTGATATTTCACCACTAATGTGCCAATACAGGACAACTAAAATAATATAAAAGCATCTTAAGTTGTTCACACATAAAAAAGGCTGTAATACTGTAAAAAATGCATGAATGCTTATATATAAAAATTTAAGTTAAGTTTGAATTAGACACATGGTTTGAAAACTATTATAGGATGACATTAGGTCAGTTATGAGAGAAGGACGCCAGCTTCTCTCAAACCTTGAGGCCTCAAAAGCTGTGGAAGGTGCTGCAGCAGAAGACAGAGACATCAGCCAAGACAAAGAAAGAGTGCAGAGGTACGTAGGCTATTACTCACCAGCAGAATAAGCACAGTAAATAATTGTCATCAGCTCTTTCGGGAAGCTGAATAACTCTCTAAGGAGTATTTATGTGATTCAGGTATTCAAAATCATGCTGTATTCATTCCCTCCTTTATATTTTATCCTCCAATGTTGGATTGGTTGATGTCTATTTAACTTCCACTAGGTCACAATGCATCTTTCTGCAAAAATGTGTCCATCACAATCAACATTATATTCTAGGGAGGCTCTGTGTGTGGAAAAAAAGATCCATCATGTTCCATTTATTTTTTGCAGACTCGTGGCACAGTTACGGGACATGGAAATGGCTTTTGATGGCTTTTTTGAGAAGCACCACCTCAAGCTCCAACAATACCTTCAACTGCTCCAATACGAGATGAGCTTCCATGAGGTACAGACTAGAAAAACACTGCTTTTCCAGCTTTCTAGTAACAAGCTACTTTTCCCCAAAAATTAGCGATACAGTGCAACATTGCTGTTTTGAATGTCATTGTACTGCGCATGCTACTACGCACAAGTTCGCTACCGCCAGCTAAAGCAAAAATGCTCTCGTCTCTCTCGCTCTTATTTAAGGTAGCGCTACAAAGTCAGATTTATTTTAGTAATTTGGTCGTCCTCTATCATATGAAGCGTTGAAAAGCCTGCGTCATTCTGCGGTACAATTTTTCGTGTGCATCATTGGAAAGTCTGATTCATTCTAGTGCATCGGTTCATCCTAAACAATTCACTCTCATGTGTAAGTCTGATTCATTCAAGTGAATCAATTCGTTATTCAAGGGTCCTCATCTCTGTCATGCGTAGCATTGGAAAATGCGAGACATTTTACTGAATCAATTTGACCTAAACGGTTCATATGCAACACTGGGAAATCCAATCATTCTAGTGAAATGGTTTGTCTTAAACGGTCCATTTTCTCATATGCAGCATTGGAAAGTATGATTAATTTTAGTGAATCGGTTCGTCTTAAATGGTCCACCCATATGCAGCATTGGAAAGTTCATTCGGATGGTTCTTGTAAATGAACAGAATAAAAAAAGATTCACAGATTTAAGTTGCTATGGTTTTTTGAAGTGCTATGTTCATTACTATGCCTTCGACTGATGATTACTCTGTATATAAAGCATTTATTATTATATATATATATATATATATATATATATTATACAATTTAATAGCTATGGAAAAAAACATTAAAACTTCTTTTGTAATTATACCAATGACAAGTCTGTTATATTATTATTTTTGTGTGTGAATTAATGCACTAATAAAACATTTATCTTAAATGCATCATTGAACATAATTATTTGGTTTTGGTCTGTGCATAGATGGAAGCCATTCTGGAGAAACTCAGTGCGCAGGAGAAAGCCATTGCATCTGTGGGGACAACAGTGGCCCAGACAGAGCAGCTGCTCAAAGACCTCGAGATGCTGGAAACCACAGCAGAGGTTTAATATGTTAAAGATTTAAATATTCGATCTTCTCTTTTTTGTACTAGTAAACATGCCTTTTTGAGAACACCACAAATACTGATTGATGTTGAAGTTGATGCTAATAAGGTAACAGATCTTTTGACCAGACTTTTTAACTGATACACTGATTAAAAGCTGAGAGCACTCTGTTGTTCTTGCAGGAAGAAATGGGCCGTGCTCAGATTATTATTCTACATGGGCACCAGTTGGCAGCGAGTCATCACTACGCTCTTGCCCTAATAGTTCAGCGCTGCAATGAATTGAGGCATCACTCTGACACTCTCACTACAGCTCTTCGTGCCAAACGGGCATCTCTCACGCACATACGAGACTTGCTGTTGCGGTTGGAGGAGGTAATAACGATGCAAATGCAAGAAATATGTAATTTATCTACTTTATGCAAAGCACATACAGACTCTGCATATCTGTTTATGGGCAGACTGTGCGTTGGTGTGATGAGGGGGCCTATCTGCTGGCAAACCAACTGCTGGATAAGTTTCAGTCAAAAGAGGGGGCACAGACAGCCCTGCAGGACATTGAGAAACTGATGGAGACAGCTCCCTCAGTGCTGCGGTCAAACCCGGACATTCTCAGTCTGGAGTTTGAAGCAATACTCACTCCACAGTTGCAGGTACTGACACACCTGAATTTTAATTTTTGGATGAACTATTCCTTTATTATCTCTATAGCAAGCAGATTAAATAGAAGGCAAATACATTTCCCGCTTCTCTTGTTTTTTCCCCCCAGAGAAAATAACCACACAATTGCATACCTGTGTCAAAACTGTGCTCAGATTTCCAAATCAGCCAGAGATTTCAGAGTGAACTCGAACATTTCTTCCAAGACTGAATTATCTGAGCTATGCTATCCACATTATTTTCTATTGTTTCATTACTTAAAATTTCTTTTATTGGATTTTCTGCACTGAACATCAAATCTATCGACAACAATGAACTGTTAATACCCTAGGAAGCAACTCCCCCAACCAACTACCTAAGAAAAACTTGCCAAACAAAAAAAAAACAAACAATAATAACAATAGAAAAAAATGAACAAACAAAAACCAATAATAATATCTCAACAGACTATTGACTATTAAAAAAAAATAGCATGTTAAATTGTAAAAATAAATAAATAAAAATTGACCATTGAGTGACAGTCT